TAATAGGGTTAATTACAAAATTGAATCATTGAACTTTAGGGTATTTACAAAGATTAGTCCCTAAGTTTCAACTATAAATACCCTAGCTCATTTAGTTTCAAAATCATCCCAAAAGCTTCCAGTTCTCTCTAAAGTGTATTCTATAAACACCTGTAAATTTTCTCTTTAGTAAAAGATCTGCAGCAGTCCGAAGACGTAAGCACAATTGGCTGAACTCCGTTATCAACTTTTAGAGTATTATTTTTCTGCTTTTATTTCGCATTCTCACAAATCTGGTTACAGGGAAATTACTTGTACTCGGTTTATTTCATACAACTGGTAATCAGAGCTTTTGGTTGTAAATTTTGTCAATTTTTGCGAGGTTACTATTTATTACTATTCACGTGAATAATAAATTTCGTGAATAGTAAAAATTTTGTCGGCGATACGAATTTGTCGACGAAGGTGTTATAATACACGGTGGTTCGCACAAATTGTCAGAAACGATCCAAAGAAGCCAGATTCGAGTGGGAGCGATGGCTGCAGACGAATGGAAGGTCAAAATTGAAAAGTTCGATGGTGCGGACTTTGGCTTTTGGAAGATGCAGATTGAAGATTTTTTGTACCAAAAAAATCTATATCAACCCCTCTCAGGAAAGCAACCAGAGGGTATAAAGAATGAAGACTGGGCTATTCTCGATAGACAAGCCGTCGGAGTCATCCAACTGACGTTGTCCCGAAATGTTGCTTTCAACATAGAAAAGAAAAAAACCACGGCGGGTCTTATGGCGGCTCTCTCCAGTATGTATGAGAAGCCATCGGCCTCAAACAAAGTTCATTTGATGAGGCGATTATTCAATTTGCGGATGACGGAAGGGGCATCGGTGGCACAACACTTAAATGAACTCAACACATTCACAACCCAGTTGAGTTCAGTGGAAATTGAATTCGATGATGAAGTTCGAGCTTTAATTCTCTTATCATCTCTACCAGACAGTTGAAATGCTACTGTTACAACAGTCAGCAGTTCTTCGGGAAACAGCAAATTAAAATTCGACGATGTTCGGGACCTGATATTGAGTGAAGAAATTCGACGGAGAGAATCGAGTGAAGCATCAACCTCCTCAGCCTTGCACACGGAGTCTAGAGGGAGAACTTCAGAAAGAAATTCAAATCGTGGCAGATCGAAATCCAGAAGGGGAAAATCAAGAACAGGAAATAAAGATTTTACTTGTTATAATTGCGATAAGAAGGGTCACTTCAAAAGAGATTGCCGAGCACTGAAGAAAAATACATGCGCACAAGAATCTGCCAACATGACAGAGGAGACAGGTGATGCCATGATTCTAAGTGTCAACAGTCCGATTGAATCATGGATCTTGGATTCAGGAGCATCTTTCCACTCCACCCCGTGCCAAGAAATCATGGAGAACTATGTCAGTGGTGATTTTGGAAAGGTTCATCTAGCTGATGATGAAACCTTGAAGATCGTCGGAAAAGGAGACATCCGACTAAAGTTGCCAAACCAGACCACCTGGAAGCTGACAGGAGTGAGACATATTCCTGGCCTCAAAAGAAATCTGATTTCTGTTGGACAGCTTGATGGAGAAGGATACAATACAACTTTTTCAGGCTGTGAATGGAAGATTACAAAAGGAGCACTCGTCATTGCTCGTGGTAAGAAGACTGGTACTCTCTATGTAACCTCAAACTTAGAGAATATCATTGTTGCAGCAGATGCTGATGGAAAATCAAACCTATGGCACCAAAGGCTTGGCCATATGAGCGAGAAAGGAATGAAGATACTTCTATCAAAATGGAAGCTGTCGGATTTAAAGAATGTAGATGTCGGACTATGCGAGGATTGCATCTTTGACAAACAAAAGAAAGTCAGCTTTACAAAGATTGGCAAGACTCCCAAGGCAGAAAGGTTAGAATTGGTTCATACTGATGTATGGGGACCATCCCCAGTTCCATCTCTTGCAGGCTCACTATATTATGTCACCTTCATCGATGATTCAACAAGGAAGGTGTAGGTTTATTTTCTGAAGAAGAAATCAGAAGTCTTTGATACCTTCAGAAAATGGAAGGCCATGGTGGAAAATGAGACTGGTTTGAAAGTCAAGCGGTTGAGGTCTGACAATGGAGAAGAGTACAGAGACAGTAGATTCAGAGATTTCTGCGCAAACAATGGGATCAAGATGGAGACAAATGTTCTCATAACACCGCAACAGAATGGCGTAGTAAAGCGCATGAACAGAACTATGAATGAACGTGCCAGAGGCATGAGGATACATGCCGGATTGCCCAAATTTCTATGGGCTGAAGCTATCAACACTGCAGCTTACCTGATCAACCGTGGGCCCTTAGTTCCTTTGGATGGCGGAATACCAGAAGAAGCTTGGAGCAAGAAAGAAATAAACCTTTAACACTTAAGAGTGTTTGGTTGTATTTCTTATGTACACATAAACTCTGCTGAAAGAAGTAAACTTGATGCTAAGTCCAACAAATGTGTCTTTGTTGGTTATGGTGGTGATGAGTTCGGTTACCGATTTTGGGACTATGAAAATCGGAAGATCATCAGAAGAAGAGACGTCATTTTCAATGAGAATGTGATGTACAAAGACAGGTCAACCATATAATCAAGTAGCTCCAATACCGAAGCTGAAATAAAGGAATTTGCTGAGTTCGAGGAGATTTCTGGAAATGATGTTCAGATCAATCCTGAAGTAGTTCAATAAGAACCACGTACACTAAAACTGAGACGCTCCTCCAGAATTCCTAAACCAACCCAACGTTATTCGCCTTCTTTGCACTACTTGTTGCTGACTGACAATGGTGAACCAAAGTGCTATGATGAAGCAATGCAAGTGAAGGATTCAGTCAAGTGGGAGTCTTCCATGAAAGATGAGATGAACTCGCTTATGTCAAATCAGACATGAGAATTAGCTGAATTACCACCAGGCAAGAAAGCGTTCCACAACAAGTGGATTTACAGGATCAAAGAAGAGCATGATAGGAGCAAACGCTACAAAGCAAGATTGGTTGTCAAAGGTTTTCAGCAAAAAGAAGGTATTGACTATAATGAAATTTTCTCTCCAGTCGTAAAACTGTCCACAATCAGACTGGTGTTGAAAATTGTAGCTGCAGAGAATTTACATCTTGAGCAGTTAGATGTAAAGACAGCTTTTCTTCATGGTGATTTGGAGGAAGAAATCTATATGAGGCAGCCAGAAGGCTTCATAGAGGAAGACAAGAAAAACCTGGTATGCAGGTTGAAGAAGAGCTTGTATGGTTTAAAACAAGCTCCTAGACAGTGGTACAAGAAGTTCGATAACTTCATGAGTAGTAGTGGTTTTACCAGATGCCAAGCAGATCATTGTTGCTACATCAAGAGGTTCGACAATAGCTTTATTATTTTATTATTATACGTTGATGACATGCTCGTTGCAGGCTCAGATATGCAAGAGATTATAAACTTGAATCAAAAATTGTCGAAGCAGTTTGCTATGAAAGATCTGGGCGCTGCAAAGCAGATTCTTGGGATGAGGATCAAGAGAGACACAAAGTCGGGGACTTTGATGTTATCACAGGCTGAGTACATCAACAAAGTACTCTCCAGGTTCAACATGCAAAACGCTAAACCAGTAAGTACACCTTTAGGTGTTCATTTCAGACTCTCCAAAGACCAATCACCCAATACGGAGGAAGAACGTGCACACATGGTGAAGGTGTCATATGCCTCAGTAATTGAAAGTCTGATGTATGCCATGGTTTGTACCAAACCAGATATTGCTCATGCAGTGGGAGCTGTTAGCAGGTACATGAATAATCTGGGCAAGGTACACTGGGAAGCAGTCAAATGGATCCTCAGATATCTGCGGGATACCACAAACAAAGCACTTTGTTTCAAAGGTGGAGATACGATACTGACAGGCTATGTAGATGTTGACTTAGCCGAAAATGTTGACATCAGAAGGAGTACTACAGGGTATGTATATACTCTAGGAGGTACTGCAGTGAGTTGGGTTTCTCAACTACAGAAGATAGTTGCTCTCTCCACAACTGAAGCAGAATATGTCGCTGTTACGGAAGCCAGCAAGGAGATGGTTTGGCTCCAAAGTTTCTTGGAAGAGTTAGGTTATCCATCTAGCAAAGAATCCGTCTTTTCATTCAAGGACAAAGCACATACAATTGAGATATCATTTTATTCGGTCTCTTCTGGAAGATGGGATTTTGAAACTTGAAAAGATCAGTGGAGCTCAAAATCCGGCAGACATGTTGACAAAGACGGTGACCACGGACAAACTGAAGTTGTGTTCAACTTCAGTTGGCATGCTAGAATAACAAGACTAGAAATGCTGCTGCATTGATTGAGGTGTGAAGACAGATTAAAATCAATCTTCAAGTGGGAGATTGTTGAATATTCAAACAGCCAGCTGCTGCTATTAAATCAAGTGGGGGGGCTGCTTATTCTTTTATTATTTTATAATAGGGTTAATTATAAAATTGAACCATTGAACTTTAGGGTATTTACAAAGATTAGTCCCTAAGTTTCAACTATAAATACCCTAACTCATTTAGCTTCAAAATCATCCCAAAATCTTCCAGTTCTCTCTAAAGTGTGTTCTGTAAACACTTGTAAATTTTATCTTTAGTAAAAGATCTGCAGCAGTCCGGAGACGTAAGCACAATTGGCTGAACTCCGTTATCAACTTTTCGGGTATTATTTTTCCGCTTTTATTTCGCATTCTCACAAATCTGGTTATAGGGAAATTACTTGTACTCGGTTTATTTCCTAACACTGATGATAATATTTCCGACATAATCAGTAAGATGAATAATTTACAACACACAACACTGTACAAGTGAATCAACTGTGCACAGAGAGTTGCAAATTAAGAACAACTTGACGCTCATTTGCTGATTACAATTTCCAATATGCATAAATTCTACCATCTTCAATCACATTCTTCTTATTTTGAATTAAATCTGACAAAGAAATTCATTAACCGAACGATAAAAATGAAAATGATCTGATGAGGATGTTCGTGCATACGTATGAGACATACGACCAACTGCTGTTACAGAAAACATCCCAAACTGCGGCAACTGATAAACTCAACAGAATCCTTAACAACTCAAACCTCAGCAGCTGTCTGCTTCAAACAATCAACATTGCACAATCCGACAGATCGTACCATATCACCCAGTCTGCCATTACAAGAAGTTCCAACAGTTAAGATAACGTAGATAGCAATATATATATATATATATATGTGTGTGTGTGTGTGTGTGTTTTTGACCTGTCAAAAACTATTCCTTGCTCTATCTGGATGATCTGTGCTGTTCCTAGCTTTTATATGGCGATCCGTGCTCCTTCTCGGTCTCTCTTTTTTTTCAACACTGGCTCTTGCTTTGTCTCTACTGTCTGTGCTTAGCCTGGATTTTTCTCTATGCACAAAACTTGGCCTACCCTTGTCTCTATGGTCAGTGCTTGGTCTGGATTTCTCCTTGTTTTGGTCGGCATTGCTCGGAGCTTGGTGGGATTGATCATTGGGTTTCGGGTCCAATACACAGCGTGGATGTTGAAGTTTCTCGATGGCTGATATGAACTTCTTAAGGTGCCTTAGGTACTCAGGGTCCAAATTACAATGGTTCCCACCTTTGAGCCACAATGGCTCATACTTCTCTTTACATAGTTCCCAAAGTTGCTTCCCATGAGAAAAGTTCACCACTTCATCTTCAGTTCCCTGCAAGACATTGTTAACTAATAATAACCCAGGTATCCTTATAATATCAACTGATCAAATTGAAAACTAGGCATCAAAATTCGTTTCGAAAATGAATCATTCAGATGAAAAAAAAGGACTTACATGAATCACCAGAACAGGGCAGCCGACTAGAGGGATTTTATCAATGTTCTGCAATAAAATTAGAAAAGAGAAGAATTATTGTGACATGTTGAAACAGTAAAAAGTTCTACGTATTGGTTCAAGTTAGTGAATAGAGATTGAAGCAGGCAAAAAAACAAACCAACCTTGTAAATGTCGAACCATAATGTACGCTTGACCGGATACATGACACGAAGACCAGACAAGATTGGACTGTGCAGAATTACACCCCTCAAGCGAGGCAACCGAATGGCTAATTCTAAAGCAGGTCCACTCCCAACTGATTGCCCATACAATATTGTGTCTTCCTGTTTTACTCCATACATCTCCAAACATTTGAAAGCTGCCTCTATGTCTGCATATGTGTCCTGCTCACTTGGCTATATATGTACACAATCATCAGAACAGTGACTCTCTAGTCTCAATCAATATAGAAGTTAAGGCACCAAAATTAACATAGGATTTTGTTATTGTACTAGGAGAAGACTTTCACATCATAATAAATAATATACATTGACAAGAAAAAAAAGGGTCATGTTCATATTTCGTTTGTGTTCTCTCTCTCTTGACTTTCCATTTTCTCAGAATAACCACACGTGCTCATTCATGTATCTTTGGCTTCATTGATCCTTAGTTTTCCAGCAAATTTCTACTTTGAAATGAATGAAAGAGGAATAGATTATACCTTTCCAGTGGATTGTCCATATCCTGAGTAATCATATCTGCATCAATAAAAAAATTAGAAAATCATATGGTTCTCCTTGATTCTAAATTTGCAGCTTTTTTCCTTTCATTTTCAGGGTTAATCTGAAGGGGAAAAACAGTGAACATTTGATATAAATAGTAACTGACCCCAAAAGATTAACATTCAGATGAACACTGAGCTCAGTGAAAGTATGATACATCTGACCAATATCAGCAGCATTTCCATGGGAATATAGCACTTTCAACGAAGCTGATGGGTTCTTCACATACATAGCCACAATCTCATTCCCCCTCTTGGTTCTCAGCTTCAATAGGTCCACCTTATCTCTCATGTAATTAACATCTGAGAACTTCATTTTCCCAGTTTCTTCGTCCACAATTATGTAGTAGGAAGGTGGGTTCGGCGGGAAAAATGCAAACTTTGCTGCCATGGATGATGTTGCATTCCTCATTCTCGATCCAGAAGCATAAAAGAATGATAGAATTTGATGGTGAGTAAATGTTTTTGGTGTCACAAGTTGATAAAAAACTGCATGGTGGGCTAGAAAGTGAAGATAAGATTCTGGGATTTGGTTTCTGTTTTTACTTTTACGTTTGGATCTTGAGAAAACTTTGGCATGAAAATGGAGATTGAGAGAGGAAGTAAACATGGAAAGCAGAAAGTAAGAGGGAGGAATTTCACTTGTCGGTTATTAATTAAGAGTGATTTCCGGCTTCAAAATGGTTACAAAGGTTTATTTTCTAATATTTTTACTAATTTTTGAATAAATATTTTTTTTATTTTGAAATTTGAATTGCAAATTTGCTATTATATGGCTCCTTGCTATGATACAGTGGGCCAAGGTGTTTATTGATAATTCAATGGCACATTTGTGGCATGTTCTATCTTCCCTGTTTTCTTGGCTTTATTGGACAATTAGGCTCCATTATAGAATCCCCTCAACTAACTTCAAGTTCTTTAGTGTTTCATTGCAATCAGTTGGACACTTTCATCTATTTGAAGGGTGATAGATATGGTTAAATACCAAGTTCAAATTGCAGAAACAAAACTGCTAGATTCTTGGCTTTTGCCATTTCTCTTTACCAAAGCCTAGACATAGCCTTTCCATGCAAAGGCTAGAGTGTCCAAAATAGGCCTTCCTTGATGAATACATTTTCATTTCTGTAACCTAAATAGATTCATCCAAAGGATGTTGCTTTCATGACTCTGATTTTAAAATTGTTATCAACAGCGAATGTAGATGGATGATGAAGTGGTGGGGCTAATCATTAAAGTTAATACGTTAAAAGAAATTTGTATGAGGTTTTTGAGGTGGGTCTAGTTTTGGAGAGATGAGAGGGGAACATTCATGATTTCATATTACTATATATTTATGATCTATTGTTTGACTTTGAAGCATCCACTAGCTTATTTTAGGTCATTCGAAGCATCCACTTTCTCTCTAAGCTCAAGAGTTTGATCTCTTCTCAATGGATCCATGGCTTCATGCAAGCATGCAATTGAAAGATTTTCAATCCTGACTACCATCAGTAACTCAGAATCATTGCAGTGTGTTGGTTTGGAACAAGAAAGATTGATTCTATATGATAGCTTCATTAATTTGCTGTCTAAATGTGTACATCGTTGTTAAGCAAACAGATGGTTTACAAATTGCAATTAAAGATTCCAGATGGATGTCGTCCTGCATGGAACCAAATGGTCCACCAGACAAGAATCAATTACAGCCAGCAGCTAAAATCTATTGATATTTTTTTAGTTGAAACCAAAGTATTTATGTATCGTAATTACTATATGTATCAGTAGTTTCCTCGAATCTGGATATGATAGCAAGTGATAAATAACTTGGCGGCTTAAAGATAAATACAACCCGTTGTACCTTCATTCTTTCACTGTCACTAAGTCATAACACATCGACATGACTCCACTTAGATGGAGCTTTGTTGTGTCTTTACTTCTTGGTCTCTGGTCTCCGCTGCTTATTTGCCGCACTCAATTGGCACATGACAGTTCACCAATTCATCTTCTTCCACCCAAACCACCTTCCCCATCTCTGTTTCTCCACATAGCATATCAACCAACTACCATATCTACTGTGCCATCCCAAACCCCAAAAATCCTGGCCTTCCCATACCCAGGCCTAGGGCTACATACTGGTTTTTCTTGACCTCAATAACCCATCTTTCCCTGGAGCAATAATTCAGGGGAAAAAATGGAGCTTCAAGTTTGTTGATGCAATTGTATTATCCAAGAGGTTACATGTATGCTTATGCCCTTGCCAGTGTACATATGCGCATGGATACATAAAAGTAGCAATCCTAGTAGATAGCATAATCCTTTGATTAAAATATATGATACCATACTTAATCATCTTTTAACATTAAACTTTCCTCAACCGGTGGTGGTTATCACAAAACAGAAAAAATAGGTCTTCTGAGCTAAAAGAAAAAGGGTGAGGCTCTATCGATTTTAAGACTGTGATGAAACTCAAAGGAAATTGAATCCAACGGAGGTAGCCTTATTAGATTGGTCCAGAAAAAAAAAAACTAGTCGATAAATCACAAACTCTATTTTCTACCTACATAGGATGAGATATTCAAGTTTCGAACTACAATGAGACATTACATTCAATTCAAACAATAAATGCACCAGTAATATTTACGTGAGAGATAAGTAACTCATCCTGTATTGTAGGGAAACTCTTAACACATTAATGTGGAAAACAGCATTCAGACATGCAGAAGTAACCTTATTATTATCTTGATTCTATACTCTACATTTTCAATTATAACTCGAAGTAGAAAATAAGAAAGAAATACCTCTGCTAGGCCATAAAATAATTTCAATCTTTGATCAGAACCACTTGTTTATTTTAGAAATAGAAAACCTAGATTTTTCTCCTCCTTTCCTTTTCATTTTATTGGAATTCTATTGGCTCCTAAGTACCAAGATGTTTTCTACTTATTTTGAAACTATCATTATGAATGAACTACAGTGATTAGCTGGTAAAATACAGGTAGAAAAGCACACTTACCATTATCAAAATCAGCAAAATGAAGGGTATATTGTTTTGCAAAATGAACAGACTGCCAAGCAGTTGGCAGCTCCAAAAGCTGATTACTCTTGAGCACCTAAGATTGAATTTCGCCGATGAAAGATTGAAATCATGCTAATTACCTCCCATGCTTCTTTTCATCCTGTATGTCACCTAGTTAAGCGGACATCTTTATACATCTAGCAAGAATAATGCACAAAAAAAAAACAGTTCAATGCAGTTAAAATAGCTTAAATGAGAATTTTATTGGGGAAACAGAAAAGAGGTGAGACATTCAACCATGAGCAAATGAATTCATAGACATCCAGAATCATATAATCAAGTAGAAAAACATTTACCACCCCAAGAAAGGGTATACCTCTTCCTATCGAACATTCGGTGCATTAATGAATAAAGGATGCAAACCACATTCACCATCTCGATCTTTATATTATACATGACAATTAATAAGGTATCCCCCAGCCCTTTCATATACCATACCATTCATGAGTAAAGGATGTAGAATAGCTTTACACTTCCAGTGATTAGTTAAATTTGCTATATATTTGGCAACACTTATTTTCATTCAAAGCATGATTCCTTAGGGTATTACAGATAAATGACAAAAAGCATAAATAATTAGGAAATAAATTGCGAGTGGTAAAAGATTCCCAATTCCTTAAACAAATCTTCAAGCATTATGTAACCAGCCTTCCTATCAGCCTAACTTTCCTTTATTGACGTTAAGAGGGGAGAAAGCATTTATTGTTTCATATGGAGCAGTTAACTTAATTCAGCAGTGAAAAACCACAAGGAACGTATATTTGATGCATTTCATACCTTCAAGAAAACCTCAGCATCACCAATTAGGCTGATCCTTCTCAATGAAAATCATTATTTTTGTTATTTCTGAGGAAGTAAGCCAGATTTGATTGTCCATGCAAGCATTTCATAAACAGATCTGAGATCACCACATTGCTGGCAAGCATTGAGCAAAACATCACAAATTTCTTGATCTGGAGAAATGCCATGAGATAACATGATACAGAAAAAATGTCGTGCCTCAATTATCAAACACCTTTTGCACAATCTATTGATAACTGCACTATAATCTTTTATTGAAATTTCAAAGCCCTTCTCCATCATTAGGCCAAAGAACATGAATACACTGTACACATCACCCTTCACACAATGTGCTTTGATTATCTGGGTGTAAGCAACCCTGGTCAATTTGATATTTTGTTCATGAAGAGAAAATAGTACCTTATTAGCATCCTCAAGGTTACCATGTACACAGAGACCATTTATGAGAATGTTATATGTGACTGGAGTAGGCTCCAGACTATTCAGCCACATTTCATTGATTAACTTAAAAGCCGTTTTCACGTTTCGAGTTTTGCAGAAGCTCTGTATGATAGTATTATATGTTACCTGATCAGGGTTGAGACCCATATAACGCATATCCTCAAGCAATCGGATAGCTTCTTGCAACTTCTTCTGTTTACAAAGCCCTTTGATAATTACAGTGTAAGTAACATGAGTTGGCCTAATACCTTTTGCATGCATCTCTCGAAGCAACTCAAGCATGCAGTGCATATTTCCATCTTCACAATATGCATTCATAAGTGTGGTGTACGTCACAGCAGTTGGTTCCAACCCATGCAGCATTATAGTCTCCACTAATCTTCTAGCCTCAGCTAAGTTTCTATTTTTGCAGAACCCATAAATGAGAGAATTAAAAGTCACTGTAGTAGGAGTAATCCCTTTTTCTGTTATTATCTTATATAACTCTAGAGCCTCCTCAAGATTTCCCTGCCTCACATACCCATCAATCATAATATTGTAGAGAACAATATCATGTGCCCAGTCATTCATTATCAGAGAATCAAAATACGTTCTTGCCTCCAATATCATCCCATTCTCACATAAACTCAAGAGAATGGCCCCACTTGAAAGCGAACTTGGGGGAATGCTCTTTGAGCACATTTCTTTGTATAGTAGAAGAGCATTTTGCACCTCTCCTTGCTTGCAGAGCCCATGAATAAGGATGGAATATGTTACATGATCTGGTTCCAAGTCCTGCTCTTCCATTTCATAGAACAACACCAGTGCCTCGTGAACCCGTCCAATCTTACACAAACTGCTGAGCAATACACTGTATAAGAGGACAGTCAACCGTAAACCACGTGAAAGCATCTCTTCTCGCAACTTTAATCCTTCCTTGACATTCCCATTCTGACAATGGCCACATATGAGTATTGTATATGTAACAACATCTGGATTCAACCCTTTATCCAGCATTCTTTGAATGAGTATCCAAGCCCCATCCATCTGACCAAGTAGACGGAACCCTTTTGTGAGAATGTTATATGTTACTATATCAGGCTCTACACCATGCTTCTTCATGTCACTCGTGAATTCCAATGCTTCTTCTAAGGAACCAGCTATACATAGTCCATGAATAAGAATATTATAGCTATATGCATCAGGAAGTAGTCCATACTTAAGCATCATGCAAAAAAATGATTTTGCAACATCGGTGAAACCTAGTTTGCAATATCTTGACATAATTGTATTTAATGAAACAATAGAAGGCCCAAGCCCCTTTGCTTCAGTCTCTTGCAGGAATGAAACTGCATCTTGTAGCTTAGATTGCCTACAAAGGCCATCTATGACTATAGAATTAGTTTGCTTGCTCTGAATAGTTCCAGCAACTTTGATTTCATTATACACATCCCACATGATACCCGTATGCCTCAAATTGTATAAAAGACTATTATAGGTCACTATTGAAGCATGCAGTTTAAGGTCCTTCATCTTCGCAAGAACATAGAGAGCATCATGAACCATCTCAAATCTTGAATAAACAAAAGCCAACATATCCCATACCAAACTGTTCTTGTCCCAGTCTCTAAAGCCATTCAGAAGGTGCTCACAAAGTGATGGAGCAGAGCCAGAGCCTGTCAGAAATCACACAAAATCTATAAACAAGAAAAGAAATGATCAGCATTTCAAATTTTGAACCCCCCCCCCCAAAAAAAAAAGGAAACTTTGTTGGTAAAAAGCAAGCTTAGTTTGACACAATCCAACAATTGCAACCCCAACAAAATATATGTATATATCAGTAAAAAAATGACATGAGATATACAAGAAACTTTCCACGAAAAGAATCCAAAATAACAAACTTAACAGAAAAATGCACCAAAGAGAAAAACAGAACCGATCAATTAAATACTCTGCGAAAAGTACCTTCCTCTTTTAACATATGTTCCAAAACAAACCGCAACTCCTCGAGTCGCCTCTGTCCCGCCAAAACATGGGCCACAACGAACCGAGAAAACCTTGAATGCCGAAACCTATACTCCTTCCTCATTAAATCAAAGAAAACCGCAGCAAAATCAGGGCTTTCAACTCTCAAAAAGTCTATAATTTTATCAACCTGTAATTGATCCAAACTGAAAACAACATTCCCAAAGTAATCCCCGGCTAAAAACCTCCTAAAACCCAGTTTTTTAAACCCGGAAAGGATCTCGAAAACAGGGTCTTTAGGAGAGTGGGAAAGAGAGGGTTCTTCTTCTAGGAGCCTGGCAACGGAGACTGAAGGTTTGAATAAGGTTAGGGAAGAAAGACGGCAGCAAATGTGAGGTTTTGCTAGGAAACCGAAGGGTTTCCATTTATGCAGCATGGAAAATCAGGATTTAAATTATTTGGAGGGGGAGGAGAGATTGTTTTGGACCAGGGATTTAGGGTTTAAGAGAGCCGTTAATTTCCCGGTAATTTCAATGACGACAACCTTTAGGGATGGGCTTTTTCAAATAAAAAATGCCATCGCGAACGAGAAATATCAAATACGACCTTACATCTATGACATGGAACTCGTTTATAATTAATAGGGTAAAGTACAATAGATGTCACTCAATTTTTTTTAAAATGATTGTTTCGGTTACAAACTTTTAAAATTATAAAATAATTATTAAATTTATTGAACTATTGCAAAATAATCCCTATAAGATATAATAAAACTTGTATTATAGTATCAAGATGATTTCTGAAATAACTCTCTCTAATCTTAATATATTTTTTATAAAGAGCAAAAGGAATAATGTTTCACATTTGAGAATTTAAAATTATTAAGGATATTTATAATTATCCGATATTAATTATCTTATTTACAAATCATAATAAACATATTCACAATTCAAATATTGAATATTTTTTTTGAATTAATCATCGATGTCTAATCTATTGACCGACTAATCCAGATCAGATACTGTAGAGGCAATGACAACCCTCTAAACCCAATTTGCTCCGTTCACAAACGTCAGAATTTGAATCACTAACCTTACTTAATAAATATAGTATCTCATCACACTAGACCAACTGGTTGTCGGTTCAGATATTGAATATTGAAAAAACATCAAGTGTTTTACTTTAACATTTAGGGAAGATAACGACTTGAGGTTTACAATTTATTGAAAATACTTTACAATTCTAATGGGATATTGTGATATATAAACATAAGACGTAACAAATTTGTATAGTGGGTATGCATTTGTCTTGGGTGGAGCAACTAGTGCGAAAGTGTGTGAAACAAATTTGTTTTACTATTTTTATTGTAAAATATGAATTGATAATTCTTGTTTTCACGTGCATATTGCTTGTGTAAGTTTAAACTTTTGTTTTCAAGATGATTATAAAGCAGTGTATGTTCTAAATACTTTTAATCATTTAACAATGAATACTCAAATATCCCTGCAAAAGTCGTACTTAAAGAATAACAACCATTCTTTTAATACAAACCATTAACTCCCCTAGCAAACCATGTGCCTTAATTCTAGTGTGTATTATGAGTATCTGTCGAGTTTTATTTGAGTCAATATAAAACAATCTCTCCATTTAATACAAATTTAGTTAGAGAATTAACCTTTAAATTTTCAACAACTTCAACTTTTACGGAGATCAAGTATTTAATGAAGCATCGTTGGATCGATTGATTAAGTACCCATTACTACAAATTCTTCTCGCACATCTCCAATCTCGCTAACACAACAAGGGAGTTAATGCGGTTCAAACACGCCTACCTCTACGGGTCAAAAAGAAAATCAACTATCAACATAGAGATAGTAAATAATACAAATACATGAAATTCTTTGTATCTCACAAACCCGATGTAATACTAGAATTCTTCAAATAACTCTAGAAAATTATCTCATATAAAAATCCCAAAAATAGTTGCATATCTCGTATAGATAGTTTTAATCACAAAGTAATTTTTCTCTACTAAAATTATATTAAAATCAAACTTAATTACTTAATAATTTTTTTAATCAATGCATAACAAAAAGAAATGGTTCAGGATATCTAAATGTAATGGAGGAATACTGAAAGTTGAAACCCAGATTCTGTTCAGCACAAAAGATGCGATTCTGTTCAAGATATCTCACCCGGACCATCTTCGTTCTTCTTGGTGCTTGATATAGACTGTTGAGCTGCAGCTTCATTTCCTTTGAACCGTTTCAAACACACCAAGTGAAGCAGAAGTTGCAGATGATTTAAGAAGGAGATGATAATGTTAATTTTTATGATCGTTATAAGATTGAATATCTTTTTTCTAAATTGATTCTTACTGCAAGTTCCTCGGTGAATCTAAGCTTCCTTGGTAGAAGTAGAGTGGGTGGAGAAAGTTGAACTCCATTTTCTGCTCAGGATTCTAAACATTTAAAACACATTATTAGATAATGAAACATGATGAGAAACATGAAACCTTTGTAGTTTACCTTGGATTTGCAGGGAAATACAAGGTGTTTGCAGTGCAAGAAAGCTAAAATATAGCACAATCTTGAGGATCCCTTTCGGCTTCATATCAGTTTAATTTCTCTCAAGATTTTTTTCCTTTGATAACGGCTTTCTAGTTTTGTGAGAATAGGGTTGTTTTTAAGTGGGAGGGAAACCCCATTTTGAAAGAGGAAAGAGAACGCTGAGCAGACACAAAGCACAAAAATGCAGAGTTCCAAAATTACAAGGGAAAAACTTAAATTGGTAGTACTTGTTTTTTAAGAGGCTTCACGACTGTTACAAGAGAAGTGCTCAACAACTAAAAGCTAGATGGGGAAAGGCACACAAAGACTCATTTTTATCACTATACATACTTCTATTTCTTTTTGCTTTTGACTTTGACTTTCTAGTTTCCCAATCCAAACATCAATACTCAGTGAGACCAACTCAGAATATGTTGCTCGAAATAATCCAACTAAAAACTACATATAATTGAAAACAAGTAACTCCCGGACACCCAATCCTAAACTGCTTCTTGCTATTGCAAAATCCTTGAACTTATTTCTAGATTAATAATCCATCATATAACCAAAAGAATAGATGATAGAACCATGAAGTCACTTAATAAAATTATCAGTCAAGTTACTTGTGATCAAGATGTGCCAAAACTTCCCCGACACGGAAAGCTGATTTTGTAGCTTCATATGCAACTTTAATCAATTGCTTCCATGTTCCACCAATACCATCTGTATTTCCATTTACTTTTGACTGACTTGGATAGTCCATTGGTATAGAATATCCAGAAAGCAGATGACCCACCCAAACACCTTCTTTTCTGCAGTTGGAAGTTTAAAATAAAGAAAATGTTATTAATAGTTAAAAAACCTCTTTCAAACACCTTTTTTTCTCTCTTCCTGGAAACAGGAGGAGAACAAAAAACTTCGAAGGCGTGTTGATAAGTTCAGCATAACAGGAGATATGTGGTAGCAGGAAAATTTTCAAGAACGAGGGCTGCATGGCCATGTATAGAAAAGCTAATGATAAGAACTACTTACAAGACTCTATCCATTTGCCGAGGAGCATAATGTCCACCACCAATTCCGAGAAGCACTTTCCTTTTGTCATTCTTCCTTGAATATATATAAAAAAAAAAGTAATAAAATACCAGGATATGTCACTAATGCAAGGCATATTATCATGAAGAGAAACTCTTTGTTTCCAAAGAACAAAGCAAAAGAGGAATGGCAAAAAAAATAAGGCAAAAATAAGTGCTTGGAATGTCATAAAAAGCATAATGACTTATGCCAGTTATTAGGTCAGTACCTGCCCCAGTTTCCGACTGCTTCACCACCTCCAAGCCCAAGTCCTTCCCAAACCAACTTCAAGCACAGACAGAAGAAGTTATGGAAAGAAGCCTGTCACCACTAATAATCTATCTATTTTACTTGGTGCCACAAGTTAAATGCATTGAAAGTATTAAAAATGTTACCATTTTCAACCATCAGAGTTTGTTATATCATCCAAGTCACTCAGGAATCAGGGCATAAAAAGTAAAATAGAAAGTAATTCAACAAAATGTCAAGAACATTGCAGAAAACAACAAAATGCAAAGGCATAATAACAATTGGGCTGTGCTAACAACTAACACTTGAAACATAACATATGATAAATGAATACTCAACTAGAGCCATGACTGAGCAGCATCTTGCCTCTCCAGTGCTCATCCGTACTGCCTATAACAACGAAAAAGAAAGCATATTGAACACAGAAAAAAGAGAGCAGATGAATCCTAGAAAATCATTGCAGAAATCCATCTGACAGGAGCTTAAATATTTGCACAAAAGGAAAGCTATCAGCATCAAGCAGACAAAAAACTGTCACAATATAAAGTATCATTAAAACTCTTCCAGCTAAAATCAAGTAAACACGGAAACATAAAATGTTCTTATTTTTGGTAGCTAACCATTTAAAAGCAAAAAACTCATATGAAGAGGACACTGCAAATGATGATCTCACACTTGACGAGTAACTGAATAAAAATTGAAATGCATGCTTGGGAAGTATCAGTAGAGAGCAATTTCACCTCAATAAAGGAGTACATAAAGAAAATCTCAAACAAAAGCCATATTCATGTATCAATTTATCAGCTCAGTTAGTGTGCACGTACAGGTATATACTAGCTTCATAAATTATCCTAAAACACCAGTCCAAATATGATTGGCAAAGATTCACCAAGTTAACTACCTTAAAGAAGCTCCATATTACTGAAGAATTAAGATCATTATTCCAACTTTGTAAAGCAAAGTGCAACATTCATCCCATCCCATGTAAACCAATATAGCTGCTTTTCCATTTTTTTATTCATCTATTGATTTTTATTTCCAAATTTTAGCATATATTTCCTTCAAGAAATTATTTTTGTGGCAAACTTTAGGACAGCTGAGACCACATCAAAGAGAATGTGAAACAAATGAAACTCCAGGTAAACTCCTAGTTTTGAAGTGGGAAAAACAATAATACAGCAGACAGCAACGCATTACTAATCTCAAGGAACATTGTTGGTTTGGTTGTTATAGGTCAATGATGTGTACCCTCCAAAGTTATCTAAAACCAAATTTAAAAATACTATTAATTAAAAAAAAAAGTAAACAAAGTTGTATTAGCAATAATCAATAATTAAAATGACCTCAAATTCAGGAACCAAATTATGAGATTGGGCAAGTTTCTTCAAATGCCTAAGCAAGGGCCCCATCCTAGGATCAGGCGGCGCTGCCCAACCTGGCCTCCCACCCTGTGGCAGAACATCTCCTTCGCGCAAATGAGGTATCCCAACATTTCACAAGGAGAAAGTAAGAAATCTTTGCTTTAATCCCAATATAAAAAAAACCTTGTTTTAAAAATAAATTGCCGATTGGGTGAACAGTGAGAGCAGGGCGATTGGAAACAGCCGTATGTTTACTGAAGAAAATAACTTCATCCACAGCCTCTCCGGTGACTTCTTACCAACAGCGATCCAAATCGTCCTCCTCGACAATGCTTTTGTCGTGTTGAAGTAGTCGAACATTTTTATTAGAAAAGCTTTTTATTCCCCAAAAATCATTAAAAAATGAATAAACAAAAATTAAGATTAGAAATATTGATTAACGTAGATAATTAAGGACCTGCTGCGATAAAGAGGGAGAGGGGACGGGGATCCAACCGGGGTTGGCCAAGAGGGCGTTGGTCGGGTTGATTGAGGCTGGATCGCTGGTTGTCGCTACTAATATCATCACCATTTCTTGTTTACTTGTATTTTTCGGTCGAAATTGTAGAATTAAAAGAGCTGAAGGTCGTAGTTCTATTTTCTGCCCACTGCTTGCTTCTAAAGCCAACGGGTTCGTCACTGTAAATGTTAGTGAGGCTTAAAACCAGAATCATGAAAACGGCGTCATTTTATGCTTTTGAGCGGGTTATTAAACCACTATGACTTCTTCTAGGGTGAGGAATGAATCATTTTCATGGAAAAATGATCATTTGAGAGATTCTTTGAAAAAATTACTTTTCAATGTTAAATATTAAACATTTAATAATATTTATTTAGAAGATCAAAGTTAGATAAAAGAAAAAAGTGAGAACTTCAGAGGGGAGAGAAGAGATCGAAACGAGATGAAGGGGACGACAAATGAATTGTGTTTTGAGCTCTCGACTCTCTTGTGAGTTATAAATGAGACGAGACAGAATGTAAGTTATAAATGAGATGAGAGATTGTGAGTTATTTGAGTTTAATTTAGTTGATACTCGAATTGAATGGATTCAACTCAAGTTCAAATTGGACTCAAATTCTTAACAAGTTAAAACGAGTTACTTAATAATCGACTCGAAAAATTCGCAAGCAACTCAAAAAATAATATATTAATTTTTTTAAATTAAATTATTAATAAAATTAAAATTTATATGTTATTTTTAAAATATAACATAAAATTTTCATATAATTAAAGTTCGAATTTGAATCGAGCTCAAACTCGAATTTAAACTTGAACCAAGCTCGAGTTTAAACTTCAATCGAAAAATATTTCTACGAATATATTAAAAATGGAGAATTCAACTTAAGATGGATTGAAAAAAATAATTGAAATGAAGGACTTAGTGTTATAATGCTTAAAGAATGAAATGTATGTGATTTCATATCAGAAAGAGAAGGATTGTTAGATATATTTATAATTTCATTTTATTTTTTATTTTTATTTTGTTGTTGTTGAAAGTAGAATGATATTTTTTTAAAATTTTGTTGTAACAATAAATAACTTTAATTATTAATGATGAACTAATTTCTTTTTTATTAATTTTGGGTAAATACAATATAATATTTATTCAAATATAACTCTAAATTATTTGACACCGAACGCTCATACACTTAACATTCATAGTGTTCGAACCTGAGACCTCTATGAATAATAATAATAATTTTTTTACTACTAAAATAGTTTGATTCGTGTTGAACTAATAAATATGCATGTAAGGGTTAAAATCCATGTGCATTGAGCTCAAAGTAGAATGTTTAGTTGATTGGTAACAGGTTATGGATAGCTGTATGATTTAATGAGTTGGGATGAAAGATTGATGTGAGATTATTGTTAGGGGGCGTTGTAGACTGCGTTTTTGCACAGCCAATAAATCAGATTCCATGTACGGGAATAACTCTGCAATGGTAGCCCATGCCCTCATTTGCCTTGGAAATAAAACAAAGTGAAGTATCTTATATTATCACAAGAGCCGGGGTACTGGCAATTTGGCACCTAATTTTTTTTATATTGTTAAATTAAATTGATGTGTTGAAAGTAACTTTTATATAAGTCTATAATCTAAATCCATTTATTATAAGGTCTAATATAAAAAAATTATTTAAATTATATCTCTTTTTTATTTAGGTTTAATAAAAAATAAACACCTAAATAAAAAAATAAACACCTAAATAAAATTATATCTCTTTTTTTCAATCACCCTTGATGATTAGTCAATGGTGGTCAAAGATGCATTGATGAAAGTAAAGGAATTAGAATTATAGGTTTAAAGAATTTTGGGGAGTTTTTTTTTTCTTAATTTTTTTTAAAAATAGTATTTTTTTTAAATATAAAAATATTGATTTTAAGTTTTTTAAATAAAAATTTCAAAAAAAAAAAAATAAACAGAATATGTGTCAAATAATGAATTTTTTAATCGTTATGATTGACCACGTTTAAAATAAAAATTGAAGAACCAGATTATAGTTTATAGACTACATGAGTATACATTTAACATATTTGTTGATGAGAATAAGTTTGTTTCGTAAGTTAATGATTAAGTAATTGTTGTTATTATTTGAGATTTTGAGTTTAAACACTAAGAAGACTTATCTTTAAACAGTATGTTAATGCTCACACTATGTTGATACAACTATCGACCGTCAAATTTAGTTGTAAAAAATCGTGTTAAAGATGAATAAGCATGAACTCTATATGGCAATCCGATGAAAAAATCTTGATTGGAGATTTTGTTCAAAAGGTTTAATTCTCCGAAAATCTTTATTAGCAGAAATTTAAAATACTCCAAAAAGATAAAACAATACTCATATTTATATTTGAAATTATATTATATTTTTATATTCGTTTGCAGATACCACTACAAACCCTCTTTATTCAATGCAAATTGCAAATACCAACACCTTTATAGGGAGTTCTATGATATTTGGTGTGTTGGGGGGCCGGGGGGGTGGGTTCGGAAGACGGTTTTAGCATCTACATCCCTATAAAGTTGTGGTTCCAACACCAGACAACCACGGCAGAACAATTATGGTTACCAATGGCAACTCGACAGCACGCTCCTACAATACCACTCAACTCCACTTTCCCTAAAACCACTTCCACTTTCAGGTGCTTCATTTCTTTTCCCTGCATTTCCAACTCTATATACATATTTATTCTCACTCACATTCAGCAAACCAGAGGAAAAGAAAAGGAAATAGAAAGGAAAGAAACTCCAACTTGTGAATTTGGGAGATGAGGAGAGGTAGGGTTGAGCTGAAAAGGATAGAGAACAAGATTAACAGGCAAGTCACTTTTTCCAAAAGGAGAAATGGGTTGTTCAAGAAAACTCATGAAATCTCTGTTTTATGCGACGTCCAAGTCGCTTTGATCGTCTTCTCTGATAAAGGGAAGCTCTATGAATGCTCCACTGATTCCTGGTATTTCTCTTCTTTCATTATTATAGATTTATACCTCTTCTTTAACTTCAATTTGGTGCAACATCTCTCACTACTTGTAATTCTTCATATATACGTTTGAAGATCCCAGGTTTTCCTTGCAAGAGAACAAGTACAGGCTTCTTTTGTTGTACTACTTTCCAGGATATTTAGACTCGAAAATTAGTGCTTCTCTATTTTTGGGAAAAGAACAGAAAACAGCTACTAAATTAGGGTTTATATATTATACTGTTTAACCTATAGCAGGGTTAATATCAATCTTAAATATATTTTGCAATAACCAAATTATTTCCTAGTTGATGAATTGAAGTAGCATAGCTTTCAAGGTTAAGTAACTGGCTGATAAATTCTCTACAAGGGCTAGTGTTATAAATTAACATAATATTTTATGAACGTTCGTATAATAAACAAACATGTTCGTGAACCTTAAATGAACCAAACATAAATATTTTCAAAAATAAATAAAAGAATATCATATTAAAAATCTAAACGAACATAAACATTTTAAAAAATAAACAATGAACAAGAACTCAACCTTATTCAATCTAGTCAGTTTCATTTACAACCCTAACTAGGGCCTAGTTCTTGGTGAACTTTCGTATTAAAACCATGCAAACTTGGAAGTTCTTTCCTAAGACGTGCCCTTTAGGCAATAAGAGATACATGGAGATTACTAGGGAATTGAAAATATTGTTCTTGATACTGACTTGTCTGTTTTTCGACAGCATGGAGAAGCTCCTTGAAAGCTATGAAGGGCATTATTATGCTGAGAGGCAGCTTGTTGCTACTGAGCCTGAATCTCAGGTTAGCTCAGTTTGTCAGTTCTCATAATCATCGTGGTTATTTTATTTATATATTCTGCTAGCAATAACATTTTGACAACACAAAAGGCTTTGGGGTACGTAATTTACCTACATTTCATAGCTGTCTGTTCAGGGAAATGGGAAAGGTGAGTTTACAATTGTTAAAAATGGTTACTTCTGCAGGGCCAATGGTTGGTGGAGTATAACAGACTAAAGGCTAAGCTTGAGCTGTTGCAGAAAAATCAAAGGTAATGCTTTAAACTAATTGCACTTGCTAAATATAAAGAGAAATATATAATATCTAGTTTGGTCAATTTCTTAAATCTTTTCCAGGCATTACATGGGAGAAGATTTAGACTCATTGAGTCTCAAAGAGCTGCAGAATTTGGAGCAGCAGATTGATACGGCTCTTAAACACATCCGATCCAAAAAAGTAATGGTTCAACTATCATCTTTCAATTCATACTTGTATAATTACAATTGTCCTGGTGATGAAATTGCATCTATCTTGCAGAACCAACTCATGTGTGAGTCAATATCCGAGCTTCAAAGAAAAGTAAGGCCTTTGAAAACATAATGACTCGGTCATGGAGAAATTGAGTACCCTTTTTCATTTTTCATCTCTAATTGTAGTTTATGACAGGAAAAGGCAATAAAAGAGCAAAACACCATGCTAGCAAAGCAGGTGACTTTTACCCTAATTTCCATATTCAGCAACACTGAAGATATATATTGTTCCATCCAAAAACTACATATCAAGTCATTTTTTTGGTAAATATCAAAAGAATAGTCTTTCTTTCCGTGTAGATCAAGGAGAGGGAGAAGACAGTGGCGCATCAATTGCTGTGGGAGCAGCAAGATAATGATAATGTCTTGAATACATCATCCTTTTTGCTGCAACACTCACATCGCTCTTTGAACATTGGGTAACATCCATTAAGTGGAAACAATAATAAAATGCTTTAAGATGTAATAATGTTTAATTTCTACTTTACAATGCAATGCAGTGGCATGTACCAGAAAGAAGCAACAGAAGTTAGGGGGAATGAACTTGACCTTACTCTCGATCTCGACCCAATTTCTTCGTGGCATCTCGGATTCTTTGCTTCATGAAATTTGGTGGAATATAACAATGAATTCTCTAGGGGTTAATTATAAAGTTTCTGTTTCTGTGATCATGGACACACATCAAATTTACTGCAAAGAAAAATCACGATGAAGGGGATAAATTGTTTGAAACTCAATGTTTTTTATGTTTTTAGTCGTATTTATATATACAAATAGTTAATTTTATCATTTGATTTCTCCTCATCCAACAATTATAAAAGTGTGTAAAACTAAAAGTTTTACAATAAATATAAGTGAATTTTAACTCATATGGATGAGTTTATAGTGCAGTATATCGAAATATACCATCGTTAAAAACTTAACAACAGAGTTAACGTGATATTTTTAATTTTTAAATTATTATTTATTTAGTTTATTCAACTAAAAAGGTGGTACACTACAGTAAAATTGGCTTTTTGCGGCGTTTTTTTTACCTATAGCGGTGTTTTTAAGCGCCGTAAAAAACACATGATGCGTTATGATAAACGCCGCAAAAAGCGCCGCTGAAAATAGCACTGCTAAAGTTTGCGACGTTTGTTAACGAAAAACGCCGCAATAGGTGTTGAGATTTAGCAGCGTTTTTATCACAAACGCCGCAATAAGTGTTGAGATTTAGCGGCGTTTTTAGGGTACAAACGCCGCTAAAGGTCCAGTATATAGCGGCGTTGTTAGGATACAAACGCCGCTAAAGGTTGGTATATAGCGAACGCCGCAATAGGTGTTAATATTTCGCAGCGTTTTTTTACACAAATACCGCTAAATGTATGATATATTACGACATTTTTGTTACAAACGCCGTTAAATAACACATAATTTAACCAATTAAAAAATTATTGTCGATTACCCCAAATCTGTTTTTTCAACCTGTTCCATTATCTAACAAACATGACAGTAATAACATCAAACTCTATATCCATAACAAGCAACATCAAATCCAATATAATAAATAAAAGTTTTCATTAACATAATATAAGTTCAGTTAAACACGGTTCAGTAACATTAACAGAATGCTGACAACATAAATGAGACTATAATGGTGGATTTTGAGGTTGAGTTTTCTATATCATCTGCATCATATCATTGAGTCGTTTTTCAAATTCTTCACATCTCTGCTGATATGTTGCTTCTCTCTGTGCTGCCGCTGCTTCCCTTACTTTATTTTCCGCTTTCATGTTAGCCATTTGTTGATCCATATCAGCCAACTTTTGTTTTAAACGACTAACTTCTAATTGGGAAGATTGAGACTGTGATGACATATACTGTGATGAACTGGATCCAAAATATTTGGTGGGAGTAACAAATGATCCTTGACAGCGCACCCGACCATATCTTTCAGGACCCAAAACGTCATTAATAGCTTGGTTTTCAATGTCATCGTCATTAATAAGACCTTGACTCGAACCGGTAGCGTGATACTCCGCTCTTTTCTCCCTTAATTTTTCCTAATAATAAGGTGAATAAATAATTAAAATAAAAAATGCCATGGTACAAATATAAATAAAGTCAGGTAAATTTAAAACATCTACCCAATAAACGTACCATAATTTCTGCAACTTCAGCAGTCATAGGAGTGTCATCCTTCTTCGTATGTGTAAAGTCAAATAGTTGGATTCGGCCAACTTTAGATCCGGATGTATTTTTCTACAATGTACCATAATATAATTACTATAAGTTAGTATGTACATGGAATACAAAAACAATGTCAATAATCTATAATACCTCCTCATTAGCTATACAATAAAAGCTCTTTGATCCAGCCGTGTGCGTAAACTTTCATTGTTGCCTGCTAGAAACACCAATATGCTCTCGGTCCTAAAATGTCAAACAAACACTTTTAATGATGATTTATAATTCGTTACAATTATTTCTGAAAAATGCATCATACTTGTCCTTTTTGTGAACTCCAAAATCTAACTACATCTTCTTATTGGTACCTGAGCATTCCAGGTGGGACTGTTTGCAGTTTTTCTTCAAGGCTAAGATTATTCTTGAAGTATTTCTTCTTTAAGGAGCTCTTGTGGTCCCTCCATCTCTTCCCTAACGCTTGCTTCACATAATCGTCAGAGACCTCTAAAGAAAATTTATCCTATACAATAAATAAGTGTGCACCGTAAGTATACATTAGTATTGAATTTCTATAGAGTATATACTAATAATGACATTATTACCTTAACAAAATCCAACGCCTGATTTTTGTTACTATTAGGCATTTCGCGCCATGCCTCATAATTGATCGGTAACAGATTCACATTACGTCCAACTATGCCTAAGTAACCTGCTAGAAGACGTGTTTCTGGGCCAATAGGTTGACCGACATCGTTTCTTGAAACTTTGACATGATGCCGAGGAGGAAGTTGATATAATTCCTTCAAAGTTGTATGTCCTCGAGTCTTGCGCGTTCCAGCATTTTCAACTATATAAGAAATTATTAAATGTCAGTTTTGAAAATGAACAAAGTAATAAATAAAGTTTCGAAGATTACCATGAATTTCTACTTATTCTTCAATAGTTTTAGGAACTTCGGAAGACTCAGGTGCATTCGATTCCTCGTTATTTCTTTCTTCATGGTCTTCAGAAGCTTGAACTACTCGCAAAGCAGTTATTTTTCTCCTCGGCATGATATCTGTAATAAACAAACATGTGTAATAAAAAAACTCATTAATTAATGAATATATTGAAAGACAACATGTTAAAGGTTATAACATTATAAATAAATAAATAAATAAAGATATAAAATCGTACGACATTCTTATGTAATGTCAGTTGTCATAAATATCTTCATCAACGTCCTCCCGAACCCATTGAAATTGTGTTGTATTTATGATAGTTCCATCTAACTTTTGTGGTAGTAGAGGTAAACATTTTGATCTTGTTTCAATTTCATCTATACTTCCATCCCTGATGTCTATCAAATCTCTGGGAGTATTTCGGAGCACAACATACCAACCGTCATCCATTGGATCGTGACAATAAATACTTGTTTCACTTGCAAAGAAAATACATATGGTTCATCCATCAAACGTTGACCCGTGTGAATTAATCGAGAGAAATTCACTATTGTAAACCCAAATTTATCTCTTTTTATGCATCTGTTTACAGCAACTCAGTCACACCGAAATAGCACAACCTTTCATTTTCCATAATAATCTAATTCAATAATGTCCGTAAGATTTCCATAATAATCGACCTCTCCCTCCTGTGGATTATTGTCCTTGACAGTAGCATAACTTGTAGTTGACAAAGTAACTACGTCTCCATTATTTTGTGTCCTCCTTAATCTTTCACGAGATTTCGTGTAGAACCTGAACCCATTAATGAGGAAGACATTATATCTTTTAACTATTCTATTCGGACCTTAAGAAACCCATTTAACATCTTCACTAACTTCTCTCCCACTCCAAACCTATTACACGTGAATGGTGAATTAATTTGCATTGATGTCGATATAAAAAGCAAGACATATATTATTTATAAGTATTCCGTAAGATTTAGTTGTTTACCGTCTGGCCTAACCATTCATGAAAAATTTCTGTGAATAACTTATGTAGCTCTCGCTGATTTAATCTTCGGGAGCGTGCACGAGATCTCAAGACTTATTTAAACTCACTATAAAGAATATTATGTCGTTAAAAATTGATATATATAAAAGATTAAGAGATTTTATATAGCTTGGGTCCGAAAGACTTACGTGTGAAAGGGGTCTATTTAAACATATCGGTGTGCTTGTACCCAAGACGTGTCATCTAAGTGTGCAATTTCAACTTTCCCTAATGGTTAACCATAACTTTCAAACAAATAATGTTCAGGTAAGTCATTAGTACTTAACACATCATTTGGGTTTGGTCTATTCCATCTTGTTTCAACATCTTCCAAATATCTAGAGCAAAATGTCATACATTCCTCTGCCAAATACCCTTCAGCAATTGATCCTTCCGGATAACGCTTATTACGCCAGTAAGACTTCAACTTGCCCAAGAACCTATACAAAAAAACATACTACGTAAATACATTTTATTAAAAGGGATAATCAGTAGTAATTTCAAACGTATAATTTAATTAACACCTCTCTATAGAGTACATCCATCGATAGAAAACCGATCCACAAACTCTTGCTTCGTGAGGAAGATGAATTAGCAAATGCACCATAATTGTGAAGAATGAAGGCGAAAATATCTTCTCCAAGTTGCATAAAGTCAAGGCAACTTGATCTTGTAGTTTATCAAGTTCTTCAACCATCAGAACTTTCCCACATATGACTTTCATTATATTAGAAAGTTCAATGATACAAGACGTCACCTTACTCGACATGCAACCGCGAACAACTACTGGAAGTAAATCTTGCATTAATATGTGATAATAATGTGACTTTAAACCATAAAATCTTCGATCTTTAACACTGACACATCGAGAAATGTTTGATGCGTACCCATCTGGGATCTTTATATCCTTCAACACCGTGCAAAACACTTCTTTTTCTTTCTTCGAAAGAAAAAAAATAGAAGGTGGCAAGAAATATCTTCAATTCGTATGTAATTGCGGATGAAGATCATGCCGAATTCCCATGTCCACTAAGTCAAGTCAACTCTTAAGATTATCTTTAGATTTTCTACCATCATTCACAATGGCCCCGATAATATTCTTACAAACATTCTTCTCAATATGCATTACATCAAGATTATGTCTCAAAATATGCTTCTTCCAATAAGGCAACTTGAAGAATATACTCTTCTTTTTCCACAAGTGTACCTCATTTGGACCATCCTCTTCATCAGACTCATCATCACTATGTTGGTCAACTTCAACCTCTTCATTGATCTGCTTTGCCTTTTTTTTGATCGTGTACTACTTGGTTGATTCATATTTCCATAAGTAAAATTGATATTTTTCAACATTCTGAATATTTCAGACCCGGTTGTTTGGTCAGGAGCATTTCGAAACTCTTCATCACCATCAAACATATTCTTTTGACATCTAAAACTATGATTGTTAGGTAACCACCGATGATGTCCCATATAAGAGAACTTATTTTTATTAACCAACCACTTCGAACATGTTTGTGCA